ACCCGACGCGGAGTGTCTCTGACCAAAGGAGAAGGAAGAATCCCGAGGGGCTGGGCAGTCCCCGTGCTGGTGGAAGGCACCTGGCAAACTGTGACCTCGCCACGCTTTGTGAGCTGGGAGAACCAACTCCTCCAGCAGCCCCTGCCCAACCAACTGACAGAAAACCTCCCTCCCTGGCCCAGCCTGGCAGCTCGTTCGACCCCGGGCACAGCAGCGGGGCACACCGGCACTCGGGGCCCATAGTGCCCAGAGGGACCCCAATGCACCTTGCCTACACCCCACATGGGGAGCTGCAGCAATCTCCAGCTTCTCAGGGACAAAAAAAAGGCTTCTACAGGCCAAGTCACACATCAGGGAAAGCAAACTCCTGCCTGGTCCCCCTGGCAAGGCAGGGAAACTCTGAAGCATGGGGTTCCAGCAACACAATTACAGTGTGAGCAAGCAACAAGCTGGGCTTTCTTTAAACCCTTCTGATGCACCAACGCATGCGATAGCCAAGGACTCATCTCTGGGAGTTCCCTGTTTGGTTACATAAACACCAACTTCAGCTTAACCTTTTCATGGCCACATCCACCAGGAAAAATCCCTGTTCCAGCCCAGCACCCCCCCAGCAGGGGCACGGGACAGGAGAAGAGCCTGGGGAGCCGAGTGCAGCACCCTGCCCGCCGCTGAGGCCGCAGCACTCACCCAGCACAGAGCTCCCGACCTGGGGCTGTCCCCCCCCCAGCTCCTCTGCAGTCCCCACCGGGTGAGCCGGGTGCTGTTGGGGGATTTCAGTCCTCGTGCTGCTACGTGTGGTTCACATTCCCTAAATCCACCAGAGCAGGACTCTCCTCAGCACACAGAGTATCTCATGACTCACACACGTGCTGGCACTTTCTTCACAGCAAGCTGTGGCTGCTGCTGGTAACGACACTCGACTCACCCAGCCCTAACCAGAGAGAAGGAAATATATTTAAGTTACCTACGTACCCTGCCACACTAACACTGCTATCATTTGTGGCATGAAAGCACGCTGACAGGCAGTGCAAGCTCACAAGCATGTACCTGATCAACAAAAAAAGACTGTTTCACACAGATTACTCCAAGGGCAGGGAGCCTCCCTGGTCTAGCAAGAGCTCCGGGTGGGACAGCTGCCAGGCAGCAGCGAGGTGCCTGCTGCCAAGCCCGGGGCACAGTGAGCCTCTGTGGGCAGGGACCACGGCCCTCACCATGGCTGAGCCCGGTGGGCAGCTCGGGCACAGTCAGGAGGGTTGTCCTCAGCCACGCACAGCCAAGCACCCACACGGCTTCCCCCGTGGGGCTTCAAAAGCCAACGACTGTAATGTCTTGAGGATAAAAAGCAGCTGCACGTGAGGGTGCTTTTGAGCAAGGTGATGATGTGACCAAACCACC